CATTATTCTGTAGTATTATATATTTACATGTTGTATACACAATCTGTCCTCACTTTGCTATGTAATTGAAATGTATTAAAATGTTGACCTTTTGTAACACACCTCGTGTGTCATGAGTGTAAAATAAAACTTGAAACTTGAAGAAGACTCTAAATAACACTTTACATGTACCTATATACCTAATTCCAATAGAGTTCTCTCTCAAATGACAGTGATCACCACGCCGTGACATTAGAACAATAAGATTAGGGTTTTTCCAACTTTATTCTATTTACAAAATTATAGATGTACAGAGAAAACATAGTTACCACAATATACAATATCAAATGTAATATATATATGGAGGACAAATCATGATACTTTTTTATAAACAAAATTTTGATAAATTTGCAAAAAAATCTTAAAATTTGAACATTGTTTGTATTCATTACTTCTGAGAACTTTACAATATTTGGTATTACATAAAATATAACTTCCTTTCTGTGGACAGAAAGGGACATTTTAACAAGTAGTGAATTTCGTCACCAATGTCTTGGGTATGGCAATATGTGCATTTTCTGTTTTGGTAATCAACATTATTCCATCTTCCAGTTTCCACTATAAACTTATGATTACTAGTTCTAAATTTACACAATACAATTCGTTCATTTTCAGTCAACAATTCTAGATAGTTTTCAAAATTACGATTATATTTATATGTTCTGTAACACACAGACTTAAAGGAATTAAAAAATGCATTACTCCACTTTTGTAAAAACTGGTCATTTAATATTTGCTGTCTAATAAGTTTTACCCGTAGCGGGTAACTATCTTCCAAAAACTGGAAATTCCATATATATATATTAGTCCACATTCATTAAAAATACTTTGTATAAATTTCATGTACCTTTTTCTTACCCAATAACTTACCATTCTAGTTTCTATTTCAATTAAAAGGGGACATGTACCAAGTTCACCATAAACCATACAATTTGGTGTTCTTTTTTTCTCCAAACCTAATATCAATTAGAGTCAGTCTGGTGAGCCTTGACTACTGACCTGACCGGTGGAGACCCCTGGCAAGTTTACTCCTTAATCAAATTTCAGTTTAATATTGAACCATATCTTTAAAGCTAAATCGTAATAAACGAAAAGTAATATGTCAATTTAGAACATCAAATATAAAATTTCCTATAGAAACAGGAAGATGGAATAGAGTCCCACGCGAGGAAAGGTTATGTCCCCTATGTAATAACTGTGTTGGGGACGAATACCACTACTTATACCAAATGTACTAATGTATCTGTTGTAGCTCTTAGACAACTTTATATACCAAATTATTATTATGTCAACCCAACTTATATCAAAATGAAGAAATGTTCTCAATTTGTAACACGGTACTTTCAACAAAAGTAAGTGAATTTATACAAAGAGTAATGAAGCTACTTAATATCTAAAATAGATTAGCTAAAAGAATTATTGAAATGGGTTGTTATTGTATAAATTGTATCACGTGTCATATCATGTGTGTACTATGTCCATCAAAGTATACTATGTAATATGTGACCTCTTGTTACGCACGTATACGTGTGGCGTGAGTGTAAAAATCAAACTTGAAACTTGACTAATTTATAGACAATGGAGGATTAATCCTCTATTGTTTAGAATATAAGTAGTGGACTCTTTGTTATAAATACAACACCCTTAGGCATATATATTGATATTCAAACTGCTGGCAAGTGGAAGCCATAAACAAAATCATAATTGAAGGGATGGTTGATATTAGAAGGAATTCTCATATGAAAAAGAGGAAAATCTTCAAAGCCTCGGTCCAGATTATTTTTGGACACAGAAAAAGGTGTTGCCCGGGCAACAAGGGCAACACGCCTGGGTCCTATAATTATGATTAGTCGTGGTCTTTGTTGTCCATTGCCTCAAGGGTAAGTTGCATCCTGCTTACAATTCTTTCGGACGTCATCATCGTCTAGAGGTTAAGTTTTATACTGGGCGACGTAGAAGCGTTATGTTGATGATTTACCTACACTATGAAAATCGGTGGGCATAACAGATAGTTTGCAGCTGTCAATGAATTGCACGGAGGGACATAGCAATTGTAACACACAAACAATTTATAACGATTAAAATTTCAAAAAGAGTCAGTGCCATTTCGTTCTGAACCTTGGATCAATGCTTGGTGTGCATCGTACACTTCAAAGACCTCACAGAACGTTGTGCCTGAAGCTGCTCATCCAAACACCATTATTTCCTAAGTGAAGGGCCGACTACTAGGTATAGCTAAAAATGGTTCCCGTTCAATGAAGCTTCACATTCCCGCACTTAGGATCAACCGAGCATTATCCTGAAATAAACATTGTAAGAACAGACGTTCCAATGCAATCTTGCACACCATGAATTTATTCGATCGCTTGCTGATAACTTTACTCACTGATGATGCCGTTCCCATACGAGGAATGAGACTGGAAACATATCTGAACAGTTTAAAAGAGGCTGCCAAGTTGATGGAACCTTGGTGTGGAGCAAAATGCAACCTACCATAAGTGCAGTGGCCATAATGTGGACATTCACGTCGTGCTGAATTCTGTAAATCAACAAGAACCTTTTCTCATTGAAAATAATGTTCAACCTTTGTCGGAGACTAAACTGAGGAGAAAAATTCCCAAGAAGTTAGCAACGAGAGAAAGGAAAATAGCGATGAATGTGATCGATCAGGATACAAGAAACTTTATTTATCACATTAAGCGTTGTTTTAATACGAACCTAAGTTAAACTGTTACTTAAAAGTATTCGGCAAGCATTCGGCACGTGCTCAAGGACAAAAGATTGCATGGGCACAAAACGCATTCAGCCGTCGAGGTTAAGTAGTATACACTTATTTGTTTAAAGTTTCACATTGAAAAAAATATTAGACATTTGTAAATTTCATTTTTTTTTTTTTATCCAAAGCCGATTTTTTTATACAATTATATATTTGGTGTCAAAGAAGTGATCTTGAAAAACGCAAATTAAAGATTGCACGTGAAATACTTTAGTGATCGTTGTCTGATTACTAGTATGTTAACGTATATGACGTTGTTGATGTGTTCCGAATACCAACAGTCAGTACTGTTACCTGTATCACAACAATGGTCCATGTACTTTCCCTGTAGATCATTTCATTACTTGATCTGTAAAGTATGTTAAGCTTCATAATCTGCTCATTCAAATATGACCTACTTACTAAATACATTTTAACGATGGTATATTAAATCTTTCTGTTACATAATAATCCTAATCTAATCTTTTATAAATGACCTATTAATTTATTCTATAATATATATTAGTACATGGTCTATTTAATCGTTTTGACGTATTCTCCCTGCCACGTCGGCAGTGTATCGAAACTAAGTCATATATTCCTGGGCAATAGACAAGTGTGCGTGAAATTAGAACGAGGTATCGCGTATCAAGTGTGTGCGCACGCAAAAATAAATAGTTTAATTTAATAGGCCAGGTTGTCGCATTGGCACTGAGGTAGACACTAGAGTACATTTCGTTACAACCAACCCAGGTTTATATTACAGTGAAATATAAACTTTGATAGCAAGTGTTGAAGCGTCCTGGATGAATAAGAATTTCTAATATTTCTCAACCTCGTTATATATCCCACCATAATGCATAGGCATATTATTTTTTCAACAAAGGCGAGATGCAGTAATAACACAGATGTTGTGATCCCATTCGGTTACATATATAACAAAGAAATCCACAACACGATAACCATTTATTCTTATACAAATACAACATCTTTCACAAACCAACATCATTATCATCAGTTATAAGACAACTCAACAGTAAGTACTCATAACTAATAATTTAATTCACGAAATACAATGCTTAAAAAAGTAATTATTATCAAAAGTTACATGTCGATGGGAATTACAACTTTACTTAATTGGTAACTCATAATGGATTGAATTTAAGACATTGATAAATTTTGAAAAATATAAGGCATATTGACTAAGTAAAAGTTAATATACAATGTAAGTAAAAATGAGAAACTGTAACCATATCTATTGTTGGACAAATACACAGTTTTTTATACATAAAAACAATTTCACAATTCTACAATGTTATACACATTACCAACAAGTACATCACATTACTAACTAAAATCAGACAATACCAAAATATATATATTCAGCGACACTTTTAAGTAGATAAGTACAAAAAGTATTCACTGCAGGCGATGAACAATTCTTCAAATTTGCAAGGAACTTCAATTTTAAATACTTAAAAGTTTATTTCAATTTGAAAGATGTATTTATACGCATTCAGTAATGTTTAATGATATTTACAATGCATTAAAAACATGTTTCTTTGCACGATAGTCCAAAAATATGTGTTAGTCCAAAAATATATGAATGCGAAAAAGGAAATGTGAAAATGTAAAGAGTGGGAAAAACAAAGAAAGGATAGAGTCAGTTGGGAATGTAAATGAAAACAAAGCCGTAAAAACACAATGAATGTGTCGCCTTATTTACACTAGTATTTTCTTTAGTAGGCATAGAAACACATTGTTCATTATCATCTCACTTTTTTATATAGATACATGTTAGATATATGTACTTTATATATTTGTACTTTATATAATCGGACTATCTACATTTGCATGTGGATATTTTTGGCCTAAATATATTTGATGCGAAATCCGAAAGCCTTTCCACCCCGCGATAATGTCCATTATTTTCCAGAGCAATTCGTAGCATATGAATGTGGGAAAGGGAATGTGAAGATGGAAGTTGGGAATCGGAAGGGAATGTGAAGATGGAAGTTGGGAATCAGAAGGGAATGGACATATAAACAAAACCGTGTATACATAATAAACGTGTCGCATCATCTACACAAGTATTTTCTGTGTAAGACACAGAAACACGTCTCATTATATATATAGATATATATACAGATATTAAGACATTAATATACTATATATTTGGTAGTATTCTTGAGTTTCTGTCTTAGTGTTTGATGACATTCATGACTTTATTCACAACACTATAGTCATTTATTATAACACAAATAAAGTTTCACAAATCAACATCATTACTACACAAATCAGCAGTGTCATTATCTATTACTACAAAACATTAACACGTTTTACAAAGCAACAGTATAACCATCTTCTGTTCATTCACGACGCATCCATACAACGTAACCTATCAAAATAAGAAAATATGATCGAGGTAATCTTATACTTGATCTATATATGAAAATGGAACAAAATTCAGAAATGAAGTCATTGGAGCGATGACAAATATTTTCTAGTAATAGTAACGATGATCTTAAACCCCTGAAACACGAACTCGTTCGAGGGATTCTCATACTTGACCAATGTATGAAGGTCGCTACCTTTTTTAAAATAAAGTCTATAGAGCAAAAACGAAAAAATATATTAAATGGTAACAGTGGCCAACATGAAAATAAATGCGTTTGAGCTATTCTCATCATTTACCAATGCATGAAGTGTGTGATAGAAATCCACCCATAAATCAAGTCGTTAGAGCTATAATTGCGATAAAGACTTTTGATAAATAGTAACCATGGTTCCGACTTCCTCAAACACGAACTCGTTCAAGGATTTTCATATCTGACCAATATAAATTCTACAGTTTGATAAAAATCAGTAAAGGAATGTAGATGTTTCCTCCAAAATTAAAACCTATGCTCATACTCCCAGGCCAACAGGATTGAGTTAAATTAATTAATAAAATGTGTTCTATAATCTTTGCAAAATCGTTCACAAGGCCACAAGGGATAATAACTCCAACTATAATTGGGTTCATCGATATATGGACTTGTAACCCAAAGTGAATAAGTCTCAAAATATAATTCGTTAGAAAATCCATAGCACAAAACATCTCGTCAATTGTATAGCAAAGAAACTATCCCAAGTTCTATAAAATGTGCAGACAGTAACTAATGGCGTCCAAAAACAATCATTTAGTATTATTAAAACTATTTAATTAATATGGATCTTCTCTCTAATAGATAACGGAACGCTACTTACCAAAAGTCTACTTTGTGTAAGATCGTCAAATTCCGCTAGGTTCTAAATAGCTTGAAACGAAAATGTATTTCTTTTAACAAATGATCTTTGCTTACAAATTTCGATGCAAGACAAATTAAATGTTAGTCGTTATTCCAAGACTTTCTAACACCTACTTATTGCAACATATTCGAGCAGATGAGAGTAAACTTACTTTGTCGTTTGTCGCCATCGATGTTTATGGCAGGGAACTCTTCGATTGGCCTGTTTTGAAATAGACACTTTATTGTTTTAATAAGATGGCCTCTCATGAGTTGTTGGTCATAGACAAAACTTTCTAACCTATCACCATTTCCAAGGCAAATATCGACCAAACACGCAATAACGAACAACCCACAATAGATATCCCCGATTTGTCCCGAGACAGCCTTTTCCTCTACTACCACGATTGGCGCTTTCTCAAACCCGAGACATTTTCTGATGATTTCGTGACTACTGTCGCCGCGAAGTTTTGTAGAGCGCTCTCCAAGGCTATCACAAACCTGGAAAATTTTCCTACAACCAATGTTGGTCAACAATAAAAAGTGACCAATCTCTTCCTCCTTATTTCTTTTGGTAAAAGATGGTGCTTCAGATGGTTTTGGTGGCACAAATATTACCTGAGCGAACTCTAATGAGGTGTCCAATGCTTGCACCCCATTTTCGATGAAAAATTTGTTCATATCATACGGTATGTAGTACTGCGGAAAATAGCGGCCAATCAGAATAAGAATGACCTCCATGCTGTCGTCTGTGAGACATGCATTTGGTTGCCCCAGCTCCACTAAAATGGCATCGAGAACTTCCTGGGAAACACAGTTTACAGATGATGGTACATGTTTTCCCTGCAAATATATTAAAATTATTATTCATAATACACATTATCATAATGAAGACTTGGTTCGTACTTGGGATGATACTTATTTTCACGATGTGCTTATAAGAAGGTACATGTAATTTAAGTGCACCGGTGGGTTTAAAATTCGAGTTACTCCCCTTTGTCTGCTAGATGGTTGTTGTAATTATTCAACTATAGAGTTATTGCCCATTATTGCTATCATCTTGAAATCGGGAAAAATCGCTAGATAATATTATAGGTGTATTGACAGACGAGGCAAGTACCTGTGCTTGGAAACAGATTGCTAACCGTTCTAAATCTAATGACAATTTTAATCAGTTTTAAGGTCATTCCAATATGGCTGCCACACCAAACTGTATATCAAATTCAATAATGCATTCAGTTAGCATTAAACAATCTGTCACAAAAAAATCCTTCTCCAATATTTCTCAAACATAATTGAGGTACATGCACACTCAATTTTAGAGAGAAAAAAAATCGATAACTGATGAAAAAACTGACTTTTTATATGTTCTTGTAAATATCATAAAGTTGGATGTCCATGGACAATTAACATGTTATTTGGTAGGTGAATACATTAGAGATCTTATGTATTAGTTCTTTCAGCTGTCTCAATACCAATAATTGGATAATACAACAGTATTGTATACACAAGGACAAGACACCAGTAAACTAAATATAGAATTGTCAAATGCATAGCTCTTCAAATGCCAACTGTTCACCTAGTGGCGAAGTTTCTGAACATACCTGGTTTTGCACCTTTTCAAAAGCTGCATATTTTGGTTTCTTCCTTACATCACAAATCTGAAAGGATATCCAATATAAACCTCATTACCTGACAATATTTTGACATCACACGGGAACAAAAAATGACAGAGTAAGAAATCGTTTTAAAACATAGTTGCATGCAATACATTTTAATCCCTTTCAAATTACAAAATTTAGAATTAGAGTTACCTCACTTAAAAGAAGTGTGCCGTTACCCAAGTTTCGTAAATGCATTATAAATAAAGTACTGATTACTATTATAAGGACTTTTACCCAACAATTTTGATTTGAAGATTTTTCTTAATCCTCCAGCTCCAATAAGAAAACAGTTGTGCTTGGTATTTTGAAGGTCTTGTACATAATTAATGGTCAAATGAACACTTTGTAAGTTGGTAAACATCAAAGATACCGCAGCTTGACACAAACGACTATCACATTTTGTCTTGATAAAGGAACGGATCGCCCTGAACATTTGACAAATTTCTTTGTCTGCACTGACGTTATTTTTTCTTCGCCCACATATCTATTTAAGTAATGCGCATCCAACCAACATTTGTTTGTTCGAATCCAGTGCCAATATTGGACCATACTGTCGTTATTACTTATGACACCTATACATAAATGTTACATAATTCCATACAGCTAAGATCATATAACGACGGCCTATACTTCAGCTAAAGCAATATGACGACAGCCCATTCTTCAGCTAGTCATATGACGACAGCCTATACTTCAGTTAAGGTCACATGACGACAGCCTATACTTCAGCTGAAGTCATATAACGACGGCCTATACTTCAGCTGAGGTCATACATGTATGACGACGGCCTATATGACAGGTAAGGTCATATGACGACGGCCTATACCTCAACTAAGGTCACATGACGACAGCCTATACTTCAGCTAAGGTCATATGACGACGGCTTATCCTTCGGCTAAGGTCATATGACGACGGCCTATATTTCAGCTGAAGTCATATGACGACGATCTATATGGCAGATAAGGTCGTATGACGACGGCCTATATGACAGGTAAGGTTGTATGACGACGATCTATACAACAGGTAAGGTCGACGATGAATTATTAAAACATTGGATATATGGAATAAATATGTGTAATGTAGGATGTTATATTATCTTAAAGTATATGAAATAGAAAACTTACTTTCTGTAGATGAAATTCGTCCTCAATACATCGTTTACAGCTGTTTGGAAATTGTTTTGATTCAGCAGTATCTGTAATACAATTTATCAATATCAATTTCAAATACACTGTACAATTGGTTGATAACATATAAACTGTACTGCGTTTCTTTTTACCAAACTGACCGTAAACATCTCCTTTTCCCCCTCTACGTTCTCCTTATAAGGACAGCAGAATATAATACACACAGGCAGTAGCATTACTGCTCATTTTGTAAACAATAACCTTATCTTGACTTCAACATTTAGACCTCCAGTATACTTTTCAGGTGTAAAATACAGGCAAAGTCCAAACGAGTTGGTATTTTTTTTATATTTTTTAACTTGTTCCAGGCAAGATTGAAATAGTTGACTTGCCCAAGCATACTGTCGGATCTGCAGTTACACAAACAAAAACCAATCTAAATCTCACCATTTGCAATTTGTTGGTTTTGCTGGGATTGTGAAGCGCCATTTTTTGACTGCTGATCACCGATGCACGATGCCGTTGTGTTTCGAGGGCGTGCAACGCCTGTTTTACTCCTCTTCTGAACTTTCCGTGCTACTCCTGTAAAGATAGCATAGATTGTAGTTTGAGTCTTTTGGAACCGTTTCACATGAATTTACAAACATATGTCATAGCATTAATACTTAAGTACAAAATTTATCTTAAATGAAGTACAAAAATGACAATTGTATTGTAATGCCACTACAAATAACAGCCATATCAGCAGAAGGTAATGCTGAATTTACGGAATGAAAGTTTTCTTCTGATGTAGAATTCCTATAACAGTATTATCAATGTCGCATCTTTGTGTCCACAGGGCAAATTAAAACATTAATTTACCCGATATTTTGCTTGGACGTGGCGTTCCTTGAAAACGTCCTCGTTGTGCTGTTGTGCCAGAGAACTTGGAAATAGGCGAATGTTCTGCATCTGGCATCTTAGTGTAAATGTTATTGCCCTTATGTACACTCCCGGTAGATGCTTTTGGCTGATGAGTGAAACCTGACCCTGAACATTCAGTATTGGTTAATTTGCCATCAGTTTCTGGAAAGGAAGAAGAATGACACTTTTGTGAAGAGATGAGTTATAACTGCATGTTCAGCTTAACAACTGGTTTCGAACAAATAGAGATGATGACAAGTTTTCATTAAATTTATCAAATGGTGGACTGCATATCGGTACAACAAATCAAAGGTTATCGTTCGATGATTAAAGCACACATAAATATGCAATTGCTACAATGAATTAAATCTCATACCATAAGTGGACTTGTCCTGTTTATCATACTGCAGTGTCTTTGAAGGAAATGCCGCTTAAACGTAAATATATTTGACATGAGGGTGACTGTAATCAGTGCATTGCGACAGTTATAGGACAATTCAATGAATAATGAGTTACCTTCTCGGTGGATTTTCTCACAACATTCCACATGCCTTTTGGAAGTATTTACAAACCTGAAACAAAAAATAATAATACACGTTACAGTTAGCAACTCATACGGAAAAGAGTACAATATAGAGTGGTGTGATATCGACACAATAAACGTATTGTACCATAAACAAACGATAGTACATGTATTCTGATAAAGTTTTGTTTCTTTTCGCCTCCAAACTTACTCAGAACAGTTTGGTGATTTCCAAATATGATCTTTATTTAACTCTTCTAAGGTCTGGTTTTCTTGCACTTCATATCCACAAATGATACAGACAATTTTTGTCGTTTTATCATCATGATAGAAACCACTCTCACATAAATGCTTAATGTCAGTACGAAATTTCTCAAAAGGAAGGTTAAAAAAGGACTTAAACCGGGCTTCGTTTTCCATGTAACAGTTCGATTTTGTGTTCTGTATTGTGGAGTCTTTCACAAATTTCTGTTTTGGTGATATTATTTGCACTGAAGATTTTCCTGTGTCTTTGACTTTATCTGTGTACGTAGGTACTGCTTCTGTAGTAGTTTGACTCCCAATCAATTGGTTTTTGAACATTTGTTCTTGCGAAAGGAAACTGGTGTCATCTGAAGCATATTCCGTGGACAGCTTTACGTCTTCAGACAGTGTAAATCCAAACTCTGACTTATTTGCAATCGGTGACATTGCTGAAGATTTTCCTGTCATACTTTGGGATTCACATGGGTCAGTAATAAGATTACTGTAAGTGTCTTCTCTTGAAGAATTCCCAACATGAACTATCGGTGCATCACTGATTACCTCAGTCGTGCATCCAGGTGTATTTTTATGTTTCGGGTAATGTGAACGAATACCGTCTGTACATTCAGTCAGCAACGAGTCTTTGCAAGCATTATTTGCTTGCAGCGTTTGTGGCGTTTGGTCCTTAACGCTTTGCGTATGACAGGTAAGTGCTGAACGAGCCATAGCTTCAGTCGTTTTATTCCAGCGATTCCCTAAGCGCCCCAGTGACTAGGGTCTGTCGTGTTATTCCAACGATTCCCTAAGCGTCCCAGTGACTAGGTTCTGTCGTTTTATTCCAGCGATTCCCTAAGCGTCCCAGTGACTAGGTTCTGTCGTGATATTCCATCGATTCCCTAAGCGTCCCAGTGACTAGGTTCTGTCATGTTATTCCACCGATTCCCTAAGCGTCCCAGTGACCAGGTTCAGTCGTGTTATTCCACCGATTCCCTAAGCGTCCCAGTGACTCGGTTCTGTCCAGCATTGATCTAACAAGAAACAAAAAGCATGAATATAAAAGTACTAATATATACTACACTTAAACTACATTTTAATATTTTCTTAAAATCTATCATGGGTTGAGTTACATAACGAACCTTATCAAGGTTCCTAGAGAGATATCGCATGAGACATCAACGAACCCGAGGTGATCGATGTTTCACGACATTAACCTGAGGAATAATCCTTTACCTTGAGCCAAAAATAGAGTGCAAACAGTCCCATTGGTCAATCCGAACTTCATTTACAAGGTTTAAAGGAGTGATAGTGTTCCTTCTTCCTCATGTCAAGAAGCTAAAACATCAGTACAAAGTTAAAGGAAAATTCAAATTCTCTTCAAGTTAGTTTAAGCGCATTTGAGTGATACTGAAGCTGTATGAGTAAAACAATGTCTGAAAATGACGTCCTCCGAGTTCTTTACCCTCATAGTTATATATCATAATATAATGTGTCATTTTATAGAGACCAGTACGTGTGTAACTATGTACCATCTACGTAACCTAATTGGCTTCTTGAAGTTTCAAGTTTCAAGATGGCAACCATAACAGAAAAAGACACTGTATTTTGGTAAGATATGCCAGTGGTTGTCTTGCATGTAATCAAGAACGAAAAGTATATTTTCCTGTCATAATTAATGCTGCTCCTTACACTAAAGCTGAACAGTTTTTGTTTATAAAAAAAATAAGGGTAGATGTTGGTGTGTATATATATTTGGCTTTTAAAATTAAAAGTAATGTACTTACTAAGACCGGAACATTATTAGTTACCGCACCGAGTAACACATTTTATTTGTGACTTCCAATAACCTTTTTAGATATCAAAGTGTTACCTATTAGATAGTGACAAAACCCTCCAAAAACCTTGGTCAACGTAAATGGATAACATCGCATGTATACCTTAAAAATGGTATAAATACGAAGTGTTATTCCTACAACTTGGATAGAATATTTACGTCCTTGATTTCTGTTTCTACCTGTGGGATCAATACAATATGTTTCCCACAGGTGGGATAAAAACAAAATATGCAGACTTATATTCAAAAATATTCATCAGTTTGGAAATATGTTGTATCAAAGTTTTACTTTATACACAATGTACGTATCAATCGTGTCGCAACGTCTCAAGACCAACTGGTCCCTTTGTCAAGCTATGACCGAGTGAGCAATTTGTATTGTTTAACTGTACTTTGACGAAATTGTATATTACATATGTCGCTCGACCCGCGACGTTTCACCTATGACAGAGAGAGTATTCACACTGTGTCGAATATGTTACCTCGTTGCTATCAAATATAATAAGATATATATGCAGACTTACCTTATTATAGTTGATAGCAACAAAGTGTGCATTGGCTTTGTATATGTGATCATTTCATCTATTCATACGGTCACCATTTTGAATTACGGCACGAAAAAAGCTATGCCGACTTTTATATTGATGTACATGACACACAATGGGTGAACAGTGTAAGAGAAAAAGAATCATTCACCCCATTGAGGTGCGATTGGGAATCTCAATCCACGGGGACAGATTCTGAAGTTGCTAAACACTCGACAAAGCATCGTGTGTGGCAACTTAAGACTATTCCCCGTCTGGTTGAGATTTACTTATCTCATGGTAGAGTTCCCACAATGGGGTCCCGTGACCACTTTTCCCGGACCAAGGTTTGGAAGTTGATTCTAGTCAATTTGAAGGTACTGATTAAAATGAGCTGGGGTGAACCTCGTGAAAATGTGGGCTAACTCGGCCTGATGCGAAAATTCAAAATGGCCGCCACCCGTCGTCTGGTATATCAAAAAATACATATCTTTGCTTCTAGATGTCCGTTTTATATGATGTTTTGGTCTAAATAGTAAAATTGATAAAAGTAAGCGTTAGAACGAAAAATGGTCTGTTATTATTTTGCTGCCAAAAACCAGGATAACCGCAAGGAGACTGCAAAGGAAAATACCAGGAAGACACCCTTAATGGTTTGGATGCAAAGGTTTTGTCTTTGAACAATGTAAATTACATAAAACAACCATTGTACGAAATGTCTGGTAAATGAATTTGTTTATTTCGGGTTAAACGTCATTGCATCAGCCAGAATCATATGATTGGTTCGTTTTAATTTGTTTAACGTCCTATTAACATATAAGGTCATTTAAAGACGTGCATCCATGTGCGCTGTGTAAGCGTGTATCTGTGTATGTGTCCAGAGACAGGACAGTTGGTGTTCTTGCCTCCTTGTGGTAGCGCGGACCTGATACCGACTTTATAGTGCTATCTCACTGAAATACCATACCGACGGCCCCAGCACACCATTCCTTCCAGTAACATTATACTGACAACGGGCGAACCAGTTGTTGCCATTTCCCTAAATGCTGAACGCTGAGCAGGGAATAACAACTACCTTTTTCAAGGACTTTGGTATGTCCCGGCCTGGGGACAAAACCCATTGCCTTCCTCACCTGGGCGAACGTTCAACGTAAAGCCAAAAGTGAGGTGTTGCCAAGCAAGGCGTATGGAGTTTAATAAATGGTAGTTAGAAATAAAAATCCCAAATATTACAGTTGGTGCAGCAGATTTATTTTGGTCGATTTTATGTCCCAAAATAGAGGGCACAAAAGCAAATCCCCAATGGTTAACATGTGGACGGGTGTCTAGGTAGTCGTCGCCACAAACAACTAAAGTTTAGATAAAAAAGAAGACAGGAAAGGAAGGAAACGAAAAAGATCTTAAGTGTTGTAATGGGAGAAGTATATAAATTTGTGTCTCTTCCATATCCCCTTCTTAGAAGACACAGACGAAACCACCAATTCTGCAGAGGATCTTACATTAGTCGCTTCTTTTGGTCATGCAGTGGGATTCAGCAGACTTATTCTTTTTCAAACCGCACATGTTCTCTTGTCAATGAAGCATGTAGGCTTTCAGTCACAATCTTCCTCTTTATCCAGTCACTTCATGTGGTGGTATGCGGCACTTGGACTTCTTTTACAAGTGATCCCACTTCAGTGCTCTGATTTCATCTAAAGGCTAACTAATTGTATCATTGTAGATGTGTCGAACAGTGAATGTGGACATTTGCTGAAGAACCTTTTGTATCGCTAGAAATGCTTTGCAACATCTTTCAAAAGATTGCGTGCCTCATGAGTTTCTGTTTTTCATGTCCATAGAAGTCAGATATTGCATCACAACCACTGTGGATATGTAATGGAATCAAGGATTTAGCTACTTCAACAGAGCCAAGACCTCTGCAGCTAATGATGTTGTCCTTCCCTGTGATAGAAAGTGTGCCCTCAAGCTGATGTACAAGATATGCAGAAAAATAACAATATCTATATCCTCGGCTTTAATCAACATTGTCTCCATTTCTCCTGTTTTTCGGATTAGCGAATAGTTGAAGGACAGGATTGTGTCTGCATTCGAATTCTTTAATACTTTCACAAGAGGAGGTGTTCAATCAACTTTGCCTGATGGAGCAACAATAGAGTCATTTTCTGTGTGTTTCGTTGCAGGCTTGGTAAACTGCATATGTTGTACATCAGATTGAGAGCACTACGACTAGGTAGTTAACTACTACCTAGACACCCGTTCTCATATTAACCATCGGGGATTTGCATTATTTTTGCCCTATATTTTGGGACATAAAAGCGACCAAAAAACCCCTGCTGCATCCATTGCAATATTTGGGATTTACATTATATTTCTTTCTATTTCTAACTACCTTTTATTTAAAGTCCTTAAAAATGGTAGTTGTTATTCCCTGCTTAACGTTCAGCATTTAGAAAAATGGCAACAACTAGTTCACCCGTTGTCAGCATAATGTGACCAGACGGAATGCTGTGCTGGGGACCTTTGGCATGGTATTTCAGTGAGATAGAACTATAATATCGGCATCAGATCCGCGCTATCACAATGAGGCAAATACACCATAATACCCTGTCTCTGGCACACATACACACATGCACGCTTACACAACGCACATAGAGGCACGTCTTTAAATGACCGTAGCTGATAATAGGACGTTCAACTAATTAAAAACAAATAAAACCAATCATATGATTCTGATTGATGTAAGGACGATAAACCCGAAATAATCAAAATCATTGACCAGACATTTCATACAATGGTTCAACTAATACACTGGATGAAGATGAACACTTTGCATCCAAACCATAAAGGGTGTCCTCCTGGTCTTTTCCTTTGCAGTCACCTTGCGGTTATCCTGGTTTTTAGCAGCAAAACAATAACAGACCATTTTCGTTCTAACGCTTACTATTATCAAGTTATGATACTACTAAATGAAATCCCTGACACTTCAAACATATTTTTAGACCAAAACATCATATAAAACGGACATCTAGAAGCAAAGATATGTATTTTTTGATATACCAGACGACGGGTGGCGGCCATTTTGAATTTTCGCATCTGGCCGAGTTAGCCCACATTTTCACGAGGTGATCACCCCAGCTCATTTTAATCAGCACCCTCAAATTGACTAAAATCCACTTCCAAACCTTGGTCCGGGAAAAGTAGTCACGGGACCCCATTGTGGGAACTCTACCATGAGATAAGTAAATCTCAACCAGACGGGGAATAGTCTTAAGTTGCCACACACGATGCTTTGTCGAGTGTTTAGCAACTTCAGAATCTGTCCCCGTGGATTGAGATTCCCAATCGCACCTCAATGGGGTGAATGATTCTTTTTCTCTTACACTGTTCACCCATTGTGTGTCATGTACATCATGTAATGTTAACGTTACAGGCTTAATGTAGGGTTGACATGACGTTGACGCGACGTCATACAATTGTGATGAATAGGTGAATCTCCCTGTCTTAACCCTAGAGTGAGACAAAGATATCCCACATCGGGAAAAGTGTAGATACACATGTGAATGATAAAAAACTTTTTAAGTAAATAATGTTTTCGGAGTGAGCATACTGTCAATTTTGTTCCTACTAAATGCATAAAGATTCGTTAAAAAAAATGTTTTCTTACCAATGTGATACATGTAAATATAAAGAATACATATATTTTTTTGTGTATATTCTAGCCTGTTGGATTAAATAAAAGGTGTGTTCCTACTACCTTTACTACTGTTTAGTGTGACCAGGGGGTTAAATGCAAGTACATCTCCTTTTAATAGTATTTCAACTAATAAAATAAAATTTATATATAATATATTTTGTTACTACTAGTGTGAAAAATGCAAATGAAAATTGTGAATATATTATTTTAGCCCTGTAAAGGTGATACATACAAAGTATGCATGCAAGTTGAATATCTGCCCAGTGGGATATTAAGTGTACAGACATTGGTTTGTATTTTCACCAGTTGGATTAGAACAAATGTTGCATACTTGTGAGTAAGGAAAATATCTACGAACCCTTGTTTCTGTGTTCATCAATAAGACCAATAAATGTTCACCCCTCCATGTCTTTCTTGCGAAAGGTATATGTGTATTTTAACACATCCTTACTTTTGTCACTACAAAAGGTAAAGTCAACTACAACTCATTACCTCTAATCTTGGAAAAAATCTAGATTCAAAAAGCAACACGCAACTCTTCAATAAAGATGAACAATCGATTGTGGATTCCTTCAATATTCTTAATTTATATGAAAGAGGTTCGGGTTCATAAATTAATTATAATAAAACAACAGGTAATATTTAAGGCAGTTGGAAAGATAAAGAACCAATTTTTAGGAATATCAGCTGGTCCCGCAATGTTTGAACACTTTGGGGGTCCATCGTGTAAAAGTAAGATAAAGAAAATAACTGCATGTATTCTAGTAAAAGTGGAAATATCTCGCTTTATGGTAAACGGATATTAATAAAATTCTTAACAATTTCACTTGTCGGTTATGAAATAGAGGCTCGAGGTATCACTGAAAAATATATGAAAGAAATTGATTCATTAATTTGGAAGTATGGAATGATCTAGTAAAGAAATATCTGGTCAAGCGTGCTTCTATGTCTTTGAATTTAAATAAAGGTGGAATTGATATTGATATTATATATCATGTAGTGAACAGAAAAACTTTGTCCGATACAGGAAATCTAAATTTATCAAATATTTCAGAAATTTTATAAATCTATCACAGCTGCATGATCAGAGTTTTAAAAAAATGAGTCGGCCAACGTGCAAGAGTGAAATTCTTCAACAGTTTTTATTCGTATACCATTTATTTCAATTTGATAAAAAGCCATTTTTTTGTTAATTTACGAAAAGCGGAATATAAACAGTTTACGATGTTTGGGACGGAGAATATATACAATGTACTAGCAGATAAGCTCAACTGTATAGCGGAACTCTCTTGAATTAAACGAGCATTTCCAAAAGAAATCTTACAATTATTGAGACGAAAGATTCATTTAAAAAAAAAAAAAGAAAAAACTTTGATAATGAAGGTAAATGATAACAAACCGAATTGTCAAACTAAATGGGAATAGATATGGAACAACATTGCTTGAAAATACCAACCAAGAAAATGAAAGAATTTCAGTGTATATTGTATACAGGGTATCTTAAATAAGTAAATTTGGGAATTCGAACGGAGAGTGTCAATTCTGTAAAGTGGATGATGAACATATTTAACATCTATTCTATGGTTGTGCTCATGTGAAAAACGTCATGCACGTTTGTTGTAACTCAGTGGTCCATGTAATTTCAGATTACAGAAATCAGATAGCCGAGGAAGTAATGATGCTTGGTTTCCAGGGCAATAAAAAGGTATCAGTTATACTAAATACAATAGTCATAACTATCAAGTGGGTAGTCTGGAAGAGCAGAAATGACTTGAAATACAAAAAGGTTGATTATTTCGCACTTCTTTAAAAGATAATATGTGGTTTTATGTTAATTCGAAGAAAATTCGAAATATCATTACACAATTAATACTTTAAAAGTACACATGGCGTAGCGATGATACATAATGTAATGATGATACATGGTGTAAGGAGATGATACATGATGTAGTGTGGTGATACATTAAACATGATGTAGTGAGATGGTACATGATGATTCATGATGTAGTGTGATGATACATAATGTAGTGATGTTACATGAAGTAGTGAGATGATAAATGATTTTTGTGCGATGATACATAATGTAGTAAGATAATACATGATGAAGTGGTAAGATATATGATGTAGAGATGAAACATGATGTAGAGATGATAAATGATGTAGTAGATGATATATGATGTAGTAAGATGATACGTGATGCAGTGTGATGATACATGATGTAGTGATGATATATGATGTAGTGTGATGATACATGATGTAGTGAGAGGATACATGATGTAGTGAGATGATACATAATGTAGTGTGATGATACATGATTTAGTGAGATAATACATAATGTAGTGTGATGATACATGATTTAGTGAGATAATACATAATGTAGTGTGATGATACATGATTTAGTGAGATAATACATAATGTAGTGTGATGATACATGATTTAGTGAGATAATACATAATGTAGTGTGATGATACATGATTTAGTGAGATAATACATAATGTAGTGTGATGATACATGATGTAGTGAGATTATACATGATGTAGAGACGATACAAAATGTAGTCAGATGATACATAATGTAGTGTGATGATACATGATGTAGTGAGATGACACATGATGTAGCGAGAGGAGACATGATGTAGTGTGATGATACATGATGTAGTGATGATACATGATGTAGTAAGATGGCACATGATGTAGTAAGAGGATACATGATGTAGTGTGATGATACATGTTGTAGTGAGATGATACATTATGTAGTGAGAGGATACATGATGTAGTGAGATGATACATAATGTAGTGAGATGATATATGATTTAGTGAGATGATACATAATGTAGTATGATGATATATGATGTAGTGTGATGATACATGATGTAGTGATGATATATGATGTAGTGTGATGATACATGATGTAGTGAGATGACACATTATGTAGCGAGAGGATACATGATGTAGTGTGATGATACATGATGTAGTGAGAGGATACATGATGTAGTGTGATGATACATGATGTAGTGAGAGGATACATAACGTAGTGTGATGATACATGATGTAGTGATGATATATGATGTAGTGTGATGATACATGATGTAGTGAGATGACACATGATGTAGCGAGAGGAGACATGATGTAGTGTGATGATACATGATGTAGTGAGATGACACATGATGTAGCGAGAGGAGACATGATGTAGTGTGATGATACATGATGTAGTGATGATATATGATGTAGTGTGATGATACATGATGTAGTGAGATGACACATGATGTAGCGAGAGGATACATGATGTAGTGTGATGATACATGATGTAGTGAGATTATACATGATGTAGAGACGATACAAAATGTAGTGAGATGATACATAATGTAGTGTGATGATACATGATTTAGTGAGATAATACATAATGTAGTGTGATGATACATGATGTAGTGAGATGATACATAATGTAGTGAGATGATATATGATTTAGTGAGATGATACATAATGTAGTATGATGATATATGATGTAGTGTGATGATACATGATGTAGTGTGATGATACATGATGTAGTGAGATGATACATAATGTAGTGTTATGATACATGATTTAGTGAGATAATACGTAATGTAGTGTGATGATACATGATGTAGGGTGATGATATATGATGTAGGGAGATGACACATGATGTAGTTAGAGGATGCATGATGTAGTGAGATGATACATGATGAAGTGAGATGATACATGATGTAGTGAGATGGCACATGATGTAGTTAGAGGATACATGATGCAGTGAGATGATACATAATGTAGTGTCATGATACATGATGTAGTGAGATGGCACATGATGTAGTTAGAGGATACATGGTGTAGTGAGATGATACATAATGTAGCGGGGGGATACATGATGTAGTGAGAGGATACATAACGTAGTGTGATGATACATGATGTAGTGATGATACATGATGTAGTGTGATCAAACATAATGTAGTGAGATGATACATGATGTAGTGATGATACATGATGTAGTGAGACGATACATGATGTAGTGAAGATACATGATGTAGTGATGATATATGATGTAATGTGATGATACATGATGTAGCGAGATGATACATGATGTAGCGAGATGATACATGATGTAGTGAGATGATACATGATGTAGTGATGATTCAAGATGTAATAAGTACAGGTGATGATACATGTAGTAGTAATAATAATAAGTAATATTTCGAGGTTCTTATATACCGCTTTATCACAACCTAATTCGTAGGTCGTCTCAAAGCGGTTCACAAATTAGTATCCGTGGTTATAGGAACTTTGCAACCAGCCAATATATTTCTCAACTCCCTGGGGAGCATACAGCCGGTGCTACCATTTCGGCGCTCACAGCTAGCATTCTACAATTCTAGAACTGCCTAACCACGTACTCATTTACAGCTAAGTAGACTGGAACAAGCTGAGTAAAGTGTCTTGCTCAGAGATACAACACAGTGCCGTGCCGTGACTCGAACCTGCAACCCTTCGGTCACGAGCACATCGTCCTACCACTAGACTACCGTGCCTCCTATAAAGATGATACATGATGTAGTGTTATGAAACATAATGTAATAAGATGATACTTGATGGAGTAATAAAATAATGATAAAAAAGATTAAAACAATCGAATAAAAAAATATATTGTTATCAAAACGGCGGATATTCAATGCAATAAGGGAGGAGGGGAATGAAGGTCAGGTAGATTTGTTTCATCCTGACTATAGCGAATCATACATACCCAAAATCTTTCATGTGTGCATCATCCCGTACCTGCAATTTTCAGAAGCTTGGAACGTGGAGACAGTGTATGTATTGGAATTTAGTCCTTCCTTCGAAAAGACCCCTCAATGATGCGGTGATTACTTTGGTTTGGTTTGTTTGTGTTGTACGTCATATTTACAGCTATGGTCATTTAAGGACGTGCCAGGTTTTGGTGGTGGAGGAAAGCTGGAGTTTCCGGAGAAAAACCACCGACCTACGGCCAGTACCTGGCGACTGGCCCACTTTGGCCTCGAACCCGCGACTCGATGGTGGAAGGCTAGTGGTAGCAGAATGGCAGATGCCCACCGCAAGTAGGAAGTGCTTCCGGAGGAATACGAAGAACTACCTGCCGTGTCATTGGGCATGCGCTTGTTTGAATTGTTGAAATATGCATATGAAATTAAAATATCTGGCATGGCGCCATAGACATACTTAGAATAATTACAAAGTTTGATTAATATAACAAATATTATTTTATGTACAGCAGTATAGCTAATTAGTCCTAGTCGGCCCTTTCCGTGCAATATATCGGAGACAACCGATCGCGCGAGTTGCATTCAAGCAGGAAGTACGTAGGGGAATAACCTAGTTTCGGGGAAGCTGTGTAAGTCGTAAGGATGAAGGTACCTTCACATGCGCTAAACGATTCTATGTATTTTGACCTAAATTGATAGGTTTAATTACAGTATGTAATAAAATGCCTAACGATAACAGCACTAATTACGCATGGATCTGGACACAGTAGGGTTAGTATGCCAAATTGTGTTTCAATAAAGCGAGAACGAGCAGGAAATTTGCTGTCAGATTTCCTGACTGGGAATGTTAGATTTCCTGACTGGAAATGTTAGTCATTGTTGAAGGTAATGGTCATATTCCATTGAAATGTCGCTATACATTTCAGTTGTCCAGTTCCAAGCATGAAAGTGTTCCAATTATGTTTTTGTAGAGAGGTTTCTCCCTACGATGTCCATCAGAAATATCCAGTCAAAGGTTGTTGTTCTTTTCTGATGATGGTTAATATCTGATCTACTATGATAGCCCATTTTATAATGTATTTATTATCAGATGCAGATATCAATAAAGTATTTTATGTTTTGGGTAATGTGTAACATTGTGTGTATTATATGAACAGAGTTTAATTTAGTTTGAGACGACCCCGCATAGCTACTGTATGGTAGGTGAACACATATGTGTAGATAACGAGAATATGACATAAAACATTAACACATAAACTACACTACTACACTACTGTTCTTAAGCTGTTATGCCGAGGGTGTGACGAATGTGCAAAGTTTTGTTCTATGTGTTGCTGTTTTGAAGCATAAATGATAGACCACATAATTGGTTATCTATACAAAGAATGTTAAAGCCTTTGTGTGACCATAAATTGAACATAAACATGAACTTGTTGTGAAGAAAAAACTTGCATATGTTACCTCAACCTTATCATTTAGACCTTCAACTCCCCTCAAAGCGAACGGTTGCCATTGCCTATGGCTTTGTTTGCGGGTAACATCTTTCATAAACTCGAAATGGATCAGAAATGGCGTGTACAATTTTGTTCCATACATCTATCGAATGGCTCAAGGTTGTAATTTTATAAAGTTACTTTGTATCTAATCAATAATTTTATCAAATTATTATTGTTTTGTTTACTTATCATTAATCAGAATGAACGCTATCATTCGAATTATATTTAATTTCTGACGATATAAAATATATTACTAGTGTTTCATTGTTAATGCCCCTCGACACAAGAAAGTCAATGAATTTGGGCCTAAAGCAACGAAAATGAACTCAAAAGACGTTACACTCAACAAGAGCAACTAAAAGGTCAAAAATGGTAAAATGTGACAATTGAAACCGAACAAGCATTGTAAATGCTGTATTCCACTTTAAAGGCCTATTTCCTGTATGCTCTTAATAGTGGTTGTCACGGAGACATGTTAAATATTCATGAATACTGTGAAGCATCATTTAGACTCCTTGTAAAATGATTGGTCAAACTTCGAATCCCTCTGCTGATGCCTGATGCCAAAGGAAATGTATCAGAATATTTACATATCTACATTTGTAAAACATCAATCTTATTTTTTTTCAAGAAATGTAAAAATGGGAAAGTATACTGTAATTTACTGCAATAGGCAAAACAGGATAAGTTCGTTTTTATCTGAGATTTTGAAAACATTTGCTAATATTTAATATCCTTTTAAATCTAAAATATGTTAAAAAAAACTAAGGGCAATCATTCTGTGCATAGTGGGATGAGTACGATAGCCGACCACGGCCGTACACATAACAACTTTGACATATTGAAGTAAATAAATATGCAGTTTCAGACAAACTTAATTATGTAAAAATAAAGTTTGTAAAAAGGGAAAAATGCATTCATGTTCAAAATTCAAAGTTAATAAATACACATTTTGGGAAAAAACGAACACGACAGAAAATATTTATGAGTATTAAAATGTACACTTAAACATTCCATGCCGCAAATTCTTACAAATCAAACGTACAAAGTCAGAGAAATGAAGTGCATTTTTTTCAAAACATGACTCTTATTCAATTTTAGTATTTTTTTCTGATGAATTGAACCAATGATGCCAACCCTGATTGATAACCAAAGCAAGACAATCAATTCCGTATTATACAAAGACATGTACAGGGTGTCGTGGTAACTTACTGGGGAAAAGGGGAAACAGCAAAAGCACTTATGAATGCAGTAAGTAATAAGAAGAATCGATGTCGTTCCGTCCAGAGGAAATCCGGGCTAATAGCTCAAGATGTATATAGCAGGGCTCGAGACGCATTTTGAGCACGCAAGGCCATTCAGCTTTTGCTATTGTCCTCGAAGAATACAAATCAGGTATCTCTATAAAACAACTCTGCTGGACACCTGGTGGTTAGTTTATATCCATTATTAGTATTTTTTGTGTGAATAGACATATTGATGTTCGGATTTGAGTGTTAAAATCGTTTTAGTAATTTATGGTGAACATCAGCTGTTTACGCTTTAAACTCTTCTGTTAGAAGTGGCCTTCTAGTACAGCGAGCTCCCATATGTTTCTTATTTGTTATCTTTGGTAGTAATTACCATAGATAATAACACCTGAGATGTTCTACAGCAATGTAGGGACATAGTCAGGTGGATCTTCCAAGGAAATATGATAGTGCTATAATATAAGCTGTAATAAACAGCTGGAGACCTATATATATATGGTCGTAAATGGGATGCACGTGGAGAGGGATTTAAAGAGAGCGAGGAACATTTAATGCAATGCACTGTCATTTTAAAAAATGTAGCAAGTCTGAATTCCTGTAAAATTGTCAATTCAATTAATTAAATTTAAAGGTTAATCAACTAATTATTTTTATTTGATTATTTAATAAAAAATATATCATTCAATCAATGTTTAAATTACGATATGATATATATAGGATCGTACATGAATTTCCATTTCATATGAGATTTACTAGTATGATACGAGTCTAAAATCTTTTTTATTTAGCGAGCCTCTGGCGAGCTAAAATGAAACATTCGGGAGTTTCATAAATTTCATATGAAATGAAAACGAGTGTAAGATCCTTTTATCACTTAATCAGGATGTGTGGCATTTATTCGTGTAAAACGGTCCCTGCAGGTAGGGCGTAAGAATTGTACCTGATGCCACCCATTGTATGATCGTAAGAGGCGACTAAATTTGGGGTCTTATCTTTTCCCTTCTTTCTAAACAACTTTCTTCTTCCTAATGTCTCCCTTGACAATGCCTCACTTTTGGCCTTTAGTTGAGCGTTCGCCCCTGTGAGGAAGGCTTTGGGTTCTGTTCCCTAGCCGAGACATACCAGAGTGTGTAAAAATGGTAGTTTCTACTCCTGCGACTGGTTCGCCCGTTGTCAGTATAATGTGACCGTGTGGGGTGTCCTGCTGGGTATCTTCGGCAGTATGTTTCAGTGAGGTAGCACTATAAAGTCGGCATCAGTTCCGCGCTATCACAAGGAGACAAACACGAACATATCGCAGCCTCCCAAAACACACACACATACACTACACGAACGCATCTTACACACAGGGGAGGCCGTAAATGACCATAGCTGTTGATAGGACGTTAAACAATACTAAACCAAACCAAACCAAACCAAACCAAATCGTGTAAACGACAATTTGTATGCAACCTTCAAATGTAAAAAAATAAACGCCATTTTTACTCCATTGCGTAAGTCTATGACGTCATGTACTTGTCCTAGGCGTGACGTCACAATTTAAACTTACAACTAATCACAGGGATGATAGGTCATATTATATGGGTATATTCACTGGATAACACAACTTACATTATGTGATAAAATATAATAGAATAGAATGAAGGGAGCATCGTATTTCACGATAGAACAAAACTGGTGAAAGAACATAGACATTGATAATGAAAGAGAACATAAAAACAATGCTTATTAGTAAAGCATCAAAAGCAAAACAAAATACAATATAATCACACTGATTTTATATTCCTATAAACAATGTCTTTACCATCAACTATATATTGACCGTAATCAAAAAATGAATATATGCGAAACAATTTAATGAAAAGCACTGTCAGTTTAGTTTACATTGAAGGTTCTTTATCAGTACAAGTGATGTCTTCCTTGGATCACAACTTTGTTACTATCGTAATCTTACAAACAGTATTCGCATTTCTGTTATAGCCAGACCCTCTGCTACAATGTACATGGTGCAGATCCATTATTTACAAGGTACTATCTGTTGATAAAAAGAATGTCCTTCACTTTTTACAGCAACCTTTGTCTGGGCCTTGGGTAGGTTTTCTTAAGTCAAAAATTGGTTGTAAGTTTAAAATATGCACCTGATTATAGGAAGCGTTAAATATGAAGTTTGATACTGCTTCGATACAGACAAGGTGAACGAGGTTAGCGCTTTAGGGAACATACTATGTATGTATTGGGCTATTTCTGGCCCACGATGCTATCTAACTATCCCCAGCAGGAAAACAACATAAAAAACACGTGACAAAATGAACTGAAACTTCAGTTTGTTTTCTAATGTATGGCAGCCATAACTGAAAATATTAACAAACATTTGAACAGTATCCTTGAAGTATTTACATTTTGAAAAACGGTGGTTTGAAAATTCAATTAATGATTTTGAATATTGATAGAATCGGCATCCAAAAATGGACCAAACCAAATAAAGTCATTTCACACATTAAATTTATCTCAAATTAATGGTAAAATGTTGATACAGAATTTAATTATACATATTGAAAGATTTGTTCATGTACAATACTACTTCATGTACAAAACATTTATGTAAGGAAAATATTTTTAAAAACTGCATGTGAAATTAAAACCCGGTACCGAACTGAGGTTGCTTACATATCACATTATCTTCGTACAAAACCATTGAACAGAACTGAGCGAGAGGAATAATCAGATGAAAACACTGACATATTCCCCAAGGATTGGAATATTTGACAGCTAATGATGATAATGATGGCGGCGAAATTCTTTAATGTTTCATAAATCATAAGCATAAAATGTTCCTTGTTTACTTGTATGCGACGTTAAATAAAGAAACTTTATTTAACGTCGCAAACAGGTAAACAATGAACATTAGCTCCTGAGAGCTCTTATCGCGACAAACCAATGTAAAATGACAATAACATATTATATTACGAGTAAAGGGAGAAAATCGCATATATTAATACAAAACAGTAATAATCATCACAGAAAAAGAAAGTATCCATATCCGAGGTTTCTAAGTGATTGGGAGTCGCCTACCTACAAAGACCCCCAGGATATGACCATTTTGGAACAATAAATACATAAAAATAGTGTTAATATATGAAAAGCTTTAATGGTGATCACAGATAAGTAATATTCAGAATAAGTAAATAAAAGACATAGTTAACAATGAATGAATACTTGTATATCACACAAGAATTACTTAGGACTTAGGATTAAAAAACTATGAAGTGGAATATACATACAGTGCTAAGATAGCAAAGACTAAAAATTGATAGAGTATACACTATTAAAGTGTGAATTAAAAATGATACCGAAATCAATTAACAAAATTAATCAAGTTTTGTAAAAAAAAAAAAAAAAAAAAAAAAAATATGGAATTATAATACAAATAAGATGCTGCAAAAATATAGAATAGAATTAAAACATATAAGAAATGAAATAAGACAAAAAAAGTATAACACAACCAAAAATGTCAGGTGGCAGAGGTAACCAGGGCACAATATGAAGTATCACTCTTTGCAGATATTGCAAAGGCAGATGCCCCGGGCCATCCCAGGAATGGACCAGCCTCCTGAATTCTTTGAAGTTTTCAACTTTTCGGAAGTCATTTGGGAGACTGTTCCACACCCGTGCGGCCTCAAAAGCAAACGATTTATGTCTATACTTCAGTGTTGACCCAGGGCACCTCTGCAGTATTTTCTTTCCTAAAGTCATAATTAGACATCTTAATATTTACAAGGATTTGAATATATTCAGGAAAATTTTTGTTTATAATTTTAAAAACCTCACAGTCCATTTCCTTCAGACGCATTATATGAAGCCTGTCGCTGTTGGTAATACTGAGTAAGTGTCTGAAGGATGAGTCTTGATCATTGTGTATAAACCTTAAAGGTCTTTCTTGTATCTTTTCTAGCTTTCTGACACCCTTCATACCAGGCTAAAGGTCAGTAGTTAAAATTTGAAACAATAAAAGAATTATAAACTACAATTCTACCTTGTTTGGTTTAAAAAAATCCCAATTAGATTTAAAATGGACTATTGCCTTGAGATTTTCCTACAAATTTCAGAGATATGAGCTTCAAAGTTTAAAAATGAATCAAAGTTCACACCTAAAAGTTTGACAACACTGTCAGGAACAATATATATTTCGCCAATACTAAAAGACTGTATAGCATCTACCGAACGTTTCCCTATACAAATGGTCTGGAAGTTATCAGGGTTTGCTTTCATCTGGTTTAATTTAAACCAGTCTATTACATTTTGACAGTCATTTTCAATATTATGTTTTAAAACATCTGGGTCTTTATTCGATTCACTGACAGTGTTGTCGTCTGCATACTTATATAATTTACAGGATGTCACATATAAAAACATATCATTCACAAATACATTAAAAGGCACGGGTCCTTAAATAAAACCCTGGGGTATCCCCTGAAGCACTTCCAGCCAGTCACCGCATTTGGAGCCAATTTTTACCTGCTGCTTCATGCTGCTCAGGTATCTGAACACCAGGTTAACTGAGGCTTTGCTCAGGTCATAGGCCTCCAGTTTCCCGACCAACAAGTTATGAGGAAGACAGTCAAAAGCCTTGAAGGGGTCCATTAGTATGGCAGCGACATACTCATAATTGTCCAAGGCTCTACGCCAATCCTCAACAAGTCGCAACAGGGTGGATTGACACCCACACCCTGGTCGGAAGGCTGCAAGGAAAGGATGAAAAACATTAGTGAAAAAGGCACTCAGTTGATCACACATGGTTCTTTTAAAAAAAAATCGATATACTAGGTAAAATGCTGACTGGTCGGAACTACTTGTGTCTGCAAAGGAACTCTGATTTATCAAAACAGTGGTTAATCATGTCGCTCAGAGGCACACTGATGTCGGTACAACAGGCTCTAAGGAGTTTTGAAGATATGCCATCGATACCAGTGGCCTTCTTCGCCTTCACCTTAGAGATGGCCTTTTCATCCACGAGTAATGGAAACGCTGTACCATAGCATTCACGACATCAGTCAGCCTGAACATACTCGGCACCAGGGCAATAAGGATAAGCCGACTTATCAGAGTATCAACCTGGCAGACACCATGCAGGAACTGGATAAAACATAAATAGACAAACAAAACCTGCTTGAAAATGTGGCATCAGTCCTACAGTTGTATGATCTTAAAGATTGTCCAGACAGAGATCATATCCAGAAAATATAACACCAGGCAGTGGATTGACAAACCAAACTCGACTTTGAATGTTCATAATGCAAAAGGATATATTGACTAAGAGAGCAGACTAGGGGCCACACCCACAAAGCTATCGACTGACAATTCACGATTTTTTTTACTTACCGAGTGTAGGTGGTCAAAGATGGAACTAATAAAACACAAAACACAGAATTAACGTAGATATGCAATAGAATATTGGAAGTCTTACACTCATTCAGGAAACTTCCGCCAATTTCATTATTGATAACAGGTACCTCCAGTACAACGTTGAGATATATACAAGACTGACCATCCTCGATACTTCTTGAGTTATTATCACTTACTCACTTACGCTAGGATATTCCATGGCAAAATTGAAGGCATTCGGCTTGTTATTTGATTGGTCTCGGTTAAAAAACAACTGACCTATCGCTAGACTGATATCTGACCATTGAAGATTACAAAGGGGCGACACCCGACTTCAAAGACAGCCAAGTTTACCGTTACGCGATCGCGAGATTCGTTTGATATACATCAAAGGATCAAGCTAATCCTCGTGTCTCATGACTTGGTTAAAAGTCTATGATGTCATCTATACATGTATATATGGAATGCTGCCCTTAACTAAAATATACAGTCCAAAATACCAAGAATTCGTGCGTTTTGAGTGTGGTGCTCTATTTTTTAGAGAGAAAAAAAAAATGAAAAAAAATCTTAAAATTCAATTCTTGATTCTATATTTGGACAAACAAAAAAAATACAGCAGTGGTCACTCCCCGTGAGAGTTTTAACATTCATGGGATATACCATCCTCGATATCCAGGGGTTACGGTCACGTTTGCTCTCTACACCCCTGGGATATGTCATGGCAAAATAGAAGGCTCGATGTGCGCCACCTTGTTAAAGACTAGTTTGATCCTTTGATGTACATCAAAAGAATCTCGCGGTCACGTAACGGTAAACATTGACAGGCTTTGAAGTCGGGTGTCTCTACTTTGTAATCTTCAAAGGACAGGTATATCAGCCTAGCGATTGGTCAGTTGTTTTTTTTACCTGAGACCAATCAAACAGCTATCTTCGTTCCTTCAATTTTGCCATGACATACTCCATGGGTGTAGAGAGCGAAAGTAAGCGTAATCCCTTGATATCGAGGATGGGGATATCGAGTACATTACGGCCTATAATTTATCGATCCTAACTTTGGTAATTATAAATAGATTCTTTTACTGTATATCAATCTCTTTGGTCCATAGGGTCGATATATTATCAAGTGCAATGTATTAGAATATGATGACATGGCAACCAGTTTGAGAAGTTTCTAATTTTAAAACTAATAATGTCTACTGAGACCTATGCATCTCGCGTAAGGGGAGATCACTACTGTTCTATTTTGCAATCTGTACTGTAGAGCTCTTCCGATGGGAGGTATATAATTACACGTGTATTCAAACCGGCGCGCAGAAAAATGTCAGAAAGTGCAGCAAGTTTCACCATTCCGTGTCATGACATTGTTAGTGTCGTAGAATTCGTGCCGTTCGAGTGGTGCACGAATCTATTAGCTGTTGGTGCAAGTTCAAGAGTCACCATTTACAGCGTAGACTTCAAGGTAACTGTATTATTACGATGTCAATACCCCCCCCCCCCCCCCC